AGACCGGCCACCTTCGGCAGCCAGGGCCAACACTGCTCTGCCATCCTCTTTCAGGGTGAAGTCTCTGCACCATGAACTATGAAAATGGAACAAAATCATAGACCATGTATAGATGGACGTCTAGCCTTCCAGAAATGCAAGGATTTTTCTGTTCCTTTATAAAGTAGAATTTTCTACTATTTCTAATACTTTATCAATATGTACATAACTATAGTGACCTAACAAACTTATGAATTTGTAATTTTCCCCACAAGTAGCTGGGAATATCTCAACCTATGGTTTCAATGAAGTACAGCCTCTATTTTGTATTAAACAGTGCATCATGAATGATGATTGATTTAAAAATAATCATTCATTTAAAAAATCTCTCGCATCTGATTCTACCTGTAGATCACTTGTCATAGAAAGGGTGGCAGAATCATACCGTCTGGGAGTAGCAAAATGGGCATCGGGAGACCTAAGTGACAGTCTTAACTCTTATAGTAGCACTGTGACCTCAGACGAGTTGTTTAATCCCTCTAAACTTTACTTTAACTTAATAGCATATTGAGGGCATTAGATCAGATATTTTTGAAGAAGATTTTCTTCTCTAAAATTCTATGACGTTAGTAAATGTTTATTGCATGTAAGCCACTTGACAGTTGTTATGAATAAATAAGAATAAATGCATAATACATGGCCCAAGCACTCATGAAGCTTACTGATATTTAAATAGGCTTTTAATTTCTAGAAGACATAATTTTCAATGAAAATGATTTCATTAAATCTATTTTAAAAATCTGAAAGCACACTGAAAATCTGAGTTGAACACTTTTATGTCCTTTAATTAGGTTGTTTTAAATTTATTTGGTATTTAATTCTGTGAGTGTTAGATTTTGAATGAAAGATGGCACAATGATAGAAGCATGGCTTTTGGAGTCAGCAAGACCTGAGTTTGAATCCCATCTTTTTCACCGGCCACAGTGTTACTGCAGACAAGACAATGGATCCATTTTTCCCTCATCTGCAAAATGGCGATGACGATGCCTATTTCTTGAGCTCCCCTATATCTAGATGGGAACATTTATGGTGTGTGTAGCATAGAAAATCACAGAGAGCAAGCATTCAATAAGAGGACTGCATTCCATACCTCCGTTTGCCTGCATACTGCCACGTATGTGGCAGGTGCTAGAAGCAAGGGGAAAAAACTCATTAACATTCTTTTTAAGGTAAAACCAATGTCTATTCCCTAGAGATAACTGGGAAGCATGTTAGAGTTTTAGATGGGAGAGTCCCACAGTTTAAGTTCTGCAAGGAATTAATGAATAAAATTAGCTAAAAGCAATATTCACTTTTACTTGCCCTATGTTTTAAAGCACTGTCCAGCATCTTCTGGGCATGCCTGTGCTTTCCCATCGCTGTCCTTTTCATGGCCTGTCCTTTCCCCACTCTCCTCATAATCAACCAAATGAAAGATTCATATGGAACCCTTCCTTGCACACTCTGATTACCCAGCTACCTGTCTCTTCTCATGCTCTGAATGTCTAGGCTTTCTACCCTCCTTCTCATTTCACATCATGCTATCTCCAGGCGGATCTTATCTTTCCTGTAGGAATGCAAGTGCCTTGGAGACAGGGTTTTTGTCTGATGCATAACTATGTATAATACCTAACATTGTCCCTTCCACATATTAGCTGCTCAAGAAATGCTTGTTTAGTTAATAAACATAATTTAAAGTTTGGGGGCCTTCTGAGCCACGCTTCGCTTGATCAGGCCTGCTTCTACGTCTGGAAGTGTACTTTCCCTTCTAATAAAGCTTTTCTTTTCTGCTATAAAAAAAAACAAACAAAAAAATAAAATAAAAGTTTGAGAACACATTTGAAAACATTAGAAAATAACGTAAGATTTTTATTTTAAAGATGTAAAATTCTAAGTCACGTTTCTGAAATAATGTATTATTAATTCTGGAAAATGCCCTATTAATCTTGAGCCATATACAGTTTTTGTAGGAGACTTCACAGGAGTCATCTCTGACAGAGGATATCGATAAAAGAGAAAGGAAGAAAGAAACTGCTATCATATGCTTTCTTCAGGACTGGGTAGCAGACCCTTCCTGAAAACCCCTCCCTCATAAACTCACAAGAAGGGGAATAAAGAAGGAACACTGCCTGTGTATTTTCTTTTTCAGTAAACATGAACTAAAATTTTAAAAGCACGAGCCAAACATAAAAGCTTCATAAAACAAGCTTAATTTCAGAGTCAGAAGCAAGGCAGCCGAGCCTGGGATCGTGTCTACACGGCAAATCAGGCACAGGTGACCCCCGCGCACGTCGCTGCTCCGTCTCTCCCAGTCTCAGCCCCTCTGCAGCCTGCACCAGTGTGTCAATGGGTGTAACAGGGCATTTTCAATCTAATTCTGGTTATAGATTAATAAGCAAACATTTTCTTGCTTATTATGCAATTTATCATGATGAAAATTACATTGGACTCCTCAAGGCTAAATGCTGATACATTCATTTATTCAGAGCTGTGTATTGAGAGTCATACTAATCTTCACGACAGAAAAGGATATAATAGTGAGGTGTAAATTACCTACTGAAAAACTGTAGTATTTGTGTCTGCAGATATTGTACATGTAGCTAAAACAGAAGCGCATCTTTATGTTTGCTAATACACGCTTCACGTAAATTTACTTAAAAACAAAACAAAACGTTAAACAAACAAACAAACAAAACACCTAAACTAAAACCTAAACCTAAAATAAAAACCTATCACTTCTCTTGGGCAACAAAATAAGAGTGCAAACTGTTGAAATTGTGTTTGGACGAGATTTGAAAATAATCTAAAATATTAGGTCAAAGTAAAATCGAAGAACAATAGAAAAATGTTCAAGGCTTCTCAAGATCACCAGAAGTCGGCGCTGGACTCGTTGGGTGTGCGTGGCAGCTGCAGCACGCGTAGGGCAAAGGGTGAAAATATGTTCTGGGGCTGTGCACGAAGGCCAGCCTTCACTACGGCCTCAAACCCGTGCGCTCACATTCCCTCCTAAGCCTTAGAGTCAATGGAGAATCTTCAGACTTCTGGTCTCCAGGAACTATCCTGGCTACCACTATGTCAACCTGCTCGTTCTAGAAATGGGCAGCTGTTCACTTGTTGGACACCAGGACAATGACAATGGCATCACCAGTGTACTACCACCATATAGGTAACATCCCTTTAATTAACATGTGCTAATCCTCGTCTAAGCACTTTGCAAATATAAACCCATTTAACAGCAACCTTATGAGGTAGGTACTTTAATTAGCCCCAACTTATAGACGGAACTGAGGCAGAGAGGTGAAGTAATTTGCTGAAGGGCGCACAGCCAGGGAGACACAGAGGTGAAGTTTAGGGAGCATGGTGATATAAGAGGTGATGGGGGAGGGCAGCTGGGCACGTTTGAAATGCATACCCTCCTCCTAGCAATCAATCTGGGACCCTGGGCTAGGAGTGCCCAATCTGCAGACAAAGCCAAGGGCTAAGGCCCAAAGGAGGCTGGAACAGGAGAGAACTGCGGGCTATGAGAAAGGCAACCACGAAGAAAAAGGCAGAGAACACTAGGTTTTTTTTTTTAGACTAACAATGATAAGAATGTAATTCCATTCATTGAGAAAATCAATGAGGTGACAACATTCACATTAAGAGACGCGTCATGGGACAGTTTGAGAATTTCTACCACCAGGAATTCACACTCACAACCAAAAACTAAGTGTTGGAGAGGATGCAGAGAAAATGGAACTCTTTCTTGTACACTGCTCGTAGAATGTAAAATGGTGCAGCCACTGTGGAAAATAGTGTTTCCTTAATAATAAGTTATATAGAGAATTACCGTATGGCTCAACAACTCCACTTTTAGGTTTCTACGCAAGAAAAATGAAACTAGGAATTCAAATGAAGACCGGTACACAAACAGCAGCAATATTCACAGTAGCGAAAAGGTGGAATCAACCCAAATGTCCATCAACAGACAAATGGATAAACACATAATGTGTATATCCATAGGATGGAATGTTATTCAACTATAAAAAGAAATAAAGTATTGACACATACTACATGAATGAACCCTGGAAACACCATGCTAAGTGAAAGAAGCCAGACCTGAAAGGCCACATATTGCATAATTCCACTTAAATGAAATATTCAGAATGGGTGAATTCAGAGAGACAGAAAACATTAGTGACTGCCAGGAACTGGCGGGAGGGGAGAAGGTGAAGTGACTGCCTAATGGGTCTGGAGTCTCCATTTGGGGCAACCACTACTGGGAAGTTGACAGTAGCGATGGCTGCATAACACTGTGAATGCACTTCATGTCACGGAATTACACACTTTAAGATGACTGTAGTGGTAAATTCCATGTTATGTGTACTACACCACCGAGGAAAAGGAAAGGCTTCCTCCAGGGATCAGGAGGCTGAGTTCTCAGGTCGACACTAACCTCTCTCCCCCTGCAACTCCTAGCCATTTGGTTACCAAGTGCTTCCCACTCGTTTCATTTGAGCAACTCCCCTGGCTCATCTCCCTCTTCCATTCCTCTCCTCACCGCTTCCCTGCATCTCTGGAAGCCCCTGATGGCTGGTCTTTCACTGTGTGCAAACGAAACGACGATAAAGTCGATTTAAAAATTAAAATGAATGTGGTCACGTATTTTATCGGTAAAAACATTTTTGCATTAAATGTCTATATCATTTTCCTTATAAATGATATGTTTATACTATCATTTATACTATTATTTTTAGCTAATATCTCAAGGCACAATAAATATAATTTTAAAACTGTGTTGCTGATCACTCATTGGGTCAGTGCTAAATTCCAATGGTGTCAAAATGACAGGAACATGCTTCCCTTTCATTATCCATATCCTAGAATTTCATATTGAATTATTTGTCGATTTTTCTATTAAAAACTCAAAGAGGGTAATTGATGACAAAACAGAAAAAGAAAAAAAAAACACAAAAACAAATTAACGGGAACCGTGCACATACTTGGCGAGCTGCTTCTCGGCGTCCGCACAGAGTTCGAGGAGCCCCATCAGGACGGCGGACACATCCATGTACGGCTCCCAGACTGTGAAACCGCGTCCAATCAGATCTATGGCTGTTCTTCGGATGGTGCTGTGTGGAGGAAGTTTGGGGCTCGGTGGCTGTAGCAGAAGAAAGGTCAGTGCCTTGCCTAAAATTACAAAATAAGAGGCAGAGAAATAAAGTAGTTTTACTGTCGTTTTCTTTGAAACATATATCCAAAACATAAACCACTTTGAATTTTTTTTTTCATTGAAGGACAGATTTGAACAGTAAGACTGTGACAGATATCAAGTTCATAGTTTGCTGAGCCATATACCTTAAAGAAATAATTTAGCTTACAGTATTTTATACCAGATTCTAAAGTGTTTTAATCACATAAAAATTATATATAAATAAGTAGACATAATTTCAAAACATATCAGTGATCCTAAGCTGCCAATGTTTCTCCCTACTCAGCATGCTGCAAAATAGAGATGGTTTCAAATGATGTAACGTGGTATTTCTTCACCTTTCTTCTGCATCTAACAGAGTTCATACGTCAAACACTTCCCACCGGTGACACATCTCATTACAGACAACGTCTGTCCAGTGGGGTGAGGGATGGAGAAGGCAGAACGTCTCGCCTCCTGCAGGCATGTCCCTCCACAGTCGGGTGTTCTGATCGAGAGTGATGGTGTAAAGTGTGCAGCAAATTCTCCACACAAGTCGGTTAAATTAAAAAACAGCTCGTTATGATGTTTAAAGCTGATGACGCGATCTAGATTTTAATGAACATACAGATACCATGCTTCATGTTGACGATAACGCTGGCAGTGTGCATACGTGCGCCTGGTGGCTCTGAAGCCGCAAAAGCCCATCTACTTCAAAAGGCATTTTGACATTAAAAAAAGAAAAACACAAGGGATTGTGAAGAGCAAGCTGCAATTTAGAAGAGAGTTTTAGAAGAGACAAAACCATTTATAAATCATAGAACAGTATAGCATACTGGCTAGCGTAACACAGGCTTCAGATTTAACACAGAGGATTAACCATGGTTTCATAACTTACTAGGGGGCAGGCTTAGGAAGGTACTCAGTGAGCCTCAGTTTCCCTGTCTGTAGCATGGGGATAATAGCCATCTCTCATGAAGCACCAGAGTGTTAAATGAATTAATGCACGCAAAGTGTACTGCCAACTGCCAAGCACTGGCGAGTACTCAATAATGGCAGTCACAGCTCACTATGAATATGTTGAAATTGTCTGTCTCCAAAATTAAGAACATGGCATATAAATTTTAGTGCATTCAACAAATAAAAACACTCATTTTATGTTATAGTTGATTGTTAAATGACAGTGGATTGAAGTGGAGGTGAAGAGAAGCGTATGTAAAGCCAAGATAACAGTCTGTGAATGCCGTCTGTAAATCAGTGCTTCTGAACTTCTTCCTAGTCATAGAACTTTTTAAGCATCTGCTGAAAGCCATCGGTCCTTTTCCTAGGAAACTACGCACATATACTTACCCACCTAATTCTGCAGAAAATTTTTCAAGAGGCCATGGATGTTGGTTTAACAAGTCCTGCAGCAAACTAAAAAAGTACACACGTAGGGGAAGCCTCCTGAGAAAACATCCCCCCAATTCATACTTTACTCATGCATGTATTTGTAAATTTTACTCTCATACCTTGCCATATAAATTAATATGGAAAGCTTCGAGTTGTGTAAACCATAAAAAATAAACTTCGAAAAAGCGATCCACTGTTCTCTATTTTCTGCCAGCTCTATATGTCCCATGATATTTTAAATACAAGCATGTCTGTGCATGTCCCTTGTCCTTAGCCAGTTTGTTAGCTCCTTGAGGGTAGGGCCTATGTTGCATGTAACTCTCCGTTTCCCAAACCACCAAGCACAGCGTTTTGAGCACATTATGGACCTAAAGTGGAAAAGAAATCTGCCTTTACAGCATGTACATTCCTAATGCAGCTCCCTGCCCAGTTTGTCAGAATGATATTTCAAAATGTCAAGAAACCTACCGCTTTCCCGTTTATTCTTTACTTCTAGGATGTTGCAGGAGCTGCAGAGAAACCCCCCCACTGCTGTTCTCTGAAGACATCCTGAAACGCCACAGCGATGGCTTCCAATCTGAGGGTTAGGGCTCCCTGGAGGTGGGTCCTTGGCAAGTAATATTGCAAAGGGGAAGTAAAGTTTCCTAAGTACAATGCTTTATAGCATTTCAATCATCCTTTTCCTTAACCACACTCTACCACTTCTGCGCTGGTGGCTGGTGGGAACATTCGTGGATACCAGGGATGGGGCTGGTTGCTCATGGCTGCTGTAGTGGGGACTCAAGAGGCAGCTTCCTCACTACTCTGACAACTTTTTTCCTGAGAGCAATAATAAATAATAAGTGGCCCATTTCTTGATACTTTCCATCATTTTTTTTCTGACAAGGTGGGAAGGACAGCATAAGGGATACGATCAGATGCCCTCCAATGAAAGGACAGAAAAGGAAAAACCAGTAAGTGTTCTCCAAAAGACCCCTGTCTCTACAATGGCCCCCAGCCCTCCAAGGTGCCTGCTGCTCCCCTGCAGAGTACCCTACCCTCACAGTGAGCAGGAAACACAGGTTCCCCCGTAACGCCACCACCCCTCTCTTAAATCACTTCCCATTTCATTCAGTAATTGTGAAATTCTCCCGAAGCATCTCTCCTTCTTTAGTTCAACTCAGAGTCTCTGGGTAGTATAAAGCAAAGACCCCCACAAGGCTGAGAGGGCAGTGTTTACCGTTCTGGCAGGCCATGTGTGGGACATCGAGAGAACGGGAGAGAAAAACAGCCTGTTTAACACACACATTTTAAATCTACTAGTAAGAGTATAATTTTTTTTTCAATGATCTGTTTTGGAATTTTAAAGAAATACAAATGTTAAAATTCCATATCCACCTCTGACAACTTATCTCAAAGAAAACATGTAAATACTATAAGATGAAGAGAATTTCCAAGTTAAATCTTTTGATTTTTAGCCCTGATGAACAGGATGCTCATATAATGTCAGTGCTTCACGCAGTCATGACACCGATGTTCCGAGAGGACGATCGAGGATGCCTAAGGCTTCGAATTTCCTAATCGTAGATTCTTTCTGCTGATGCTAAGGAACCAACTTTTAAAAAATCGTTGTATAATAATAAAAAGGGAGGGATAATTTATTCTTGTCTCAATTTATATCGTATTCTCTAATTTAGGGTAGATTTAATTTATAACCGCATACAATGTAGGTGCTCTGCAAAGTTAACCAAGGTGATGAAAAAGCTAAAATTAAGATAATGATGGTAACTTCTTTAGTGATAGAAAAAGTCTTGTGACAGAATTTTATGATTTTGAAATTTATCTCATAATTTTTCTTAAGTTTTTGGTACCCAATAAAGGCTGCATTTTAACTGTATAGGACGGAATCTAATTTTGTACAAAAATACAAATGTACTTACTTTATGCAAAAGCCCCACTATTCCACAGGGCCTCACTGAGTATGCAAGGTGGAAACAATCCTATCATCTGCCAGTGTGACTGATTCCTTCACAAAGACTCAACAGTGGCAGTGTTAAAAAGTTCAACGACTGGCCTGACATTCACTCAAGGCTTTCCATAATTTGGTCTCAATCTATCCACCCAAAGATTCAAGTAATATCTGTTTACAGAATATTGCTATGTTGTACTAAGTGCTGGGGAAACATAAGAGAATAAGACTCAGTTTTTCCTCTAAAGGAAATTCATTCTAGTTCAGGAGATAGGTGAACAAATAGGTAATGTGAATATATTATAAACAGTGTTATATTTATAAGCACAAGTTACCAAGACAGAACTTAACAGAGGCACTTAGCCCCATCTTAGGGGTATGAGAAGCTTTTCAGTGAAAGGTGACCTCTGTACCAAAACCTAAAAACTAAGTGGGAGTTAGCCACTCAGAAGGGAGGAGTATGGAAAGAAAGCACCCAGGCAGAGAGAACAGCATGTCTAAGGACCGGGAAATAGGCGAGAATGGAGTAGAATTGAGGGATTCCATGAAGTTCGACATGACTGGCAATTCTGTGGAGGAAAGGAAAGGGGTCGAGATGGGCAGGGGGGCAGAGGGCGAGGGGAGTGAAATGTAACAGTGCTATGAGGCAGGACAGGTTCTTAGAGCCTCATCACGAAGGGCCTTACACGCTATGCCATGCTAAGAGTTTGTTTATTCCGACACTGGGGAATCACTGGAAAGTTTTAATCAAAGGAGAGGTATGATCAGATTTCCATTTTAGAAAATCAATACTTGGGCTGTCTTGTGATTAGAAAGGGGCAAGCCCCTATTGCCTTTTTAATTGTGATCCACTTATTCCTAGGCAAATGGAGTATTAGAATCGCAGAATTTTTAAATTAGAAGGATGTTAGAAAAATCTCTTCCTATGTTTTAGATCAGATAACTGAGAACCGTGGAAGGCAAGGGGCTAGCTGCAGGCCTGGGTCTAGGACGCCGTGGCTCAGGCCACAGGTAACGATCAGTACTCATCTGTGAGCACAATGTACATATTTACAACCATGTTTTATTCATGACACTCCACCCAACTATGGATTTAAAACTATATCCTTTATGATCAATCTCTTCCTCCTTCTGAATTGCGGAATAATTTAAGCCGTAGTTACCAATGTCTCCCCCAAACAGAAGATTAAATAAATGACATGTGTTATCTTTTCTTATACATTGAGAAGGCTGCTATCACTGATTCAACAGCTAAATATAGCTACACCAAGATCCTTTAATTGTCTTGGCTCTAACTTAGATGCATCACGGTCACAAAATGGTTAATTGCACAGCCAGCACTGCATCCATCTTCCAGGCAGGAAGAGGTCGTCGCTGAAGGGCAAAAAGAACACATTCCAGTTAAGTCAAGCCCCTTTCTTAAGTCTGGTTACACTTCATTTGCTAGAATCATATCATATAATAATTCCCTGGCTTCGAGGAAGGATGGGAAATGTAGTTTTTGTTAGGTGGGCACATGGCCATCTTCAACGAAACTGAGGTTTTGTTCATGTGGAAGGGGAGAATGGTATTGCATAGGTAGCTAGAAATTTCTGCCCCATCTTCCCTGCTTACCTTAGAATGAAATTCTTATTTATATAGTAATTATTGTCCATACAC